ACTGCTAGACACAACTCAGTTGATTTTGAAATAAAATATGGGATGATTTTTTTCTTAACTCAATTGACAGGAATAACACAAAGGAGGGCAAAATTAATGGAATCAAAGGTAAGTCAGTAAAAAATATCCAGACTGAATCATAAAGAGTCAAAATAATAGAAAATACAAAAAAGAATGTTGGGATATAGTAAAGGAAATGTCTGACACATACGATTAGAGTCACAAAAGAAGATGGGAGGGATAATGGAAGCTGTGAGGAAAGATACCATATCCTACAGTCAAGGTGTGTTTCAAACTCCCAGCAGGATAAATACATTAAATACTACAGCTAGGCACATCAGAATACAACTGCTGAAATCCAAAGCAAAGTGAAAATCTTAAAAGCAGTACTAGGACTGATAGATGACTTCTCAAGAGAAACAAGGGACACCAGTGACATCTTCAAAGGTTGAAAGAAAATGACTGTACTAACCTAGAATTTCTTACTTACCAAAAATATCTTTCAAAAATACAAACAAAATAGAGACTCTTCAGCAATCAAAAACCAAGTTTGTGGCCATAAGATCTTTACTGGAAGCAAAAGACTAAAGGTATTTCTAAATATACTATACTAAATACCATACTATATTAAAGAAAAATTCTAAAGTTAGTTCAGAAGAAGACGGATCCAAGATAGATACATGGAAATACAGAAAGGAAAGAAGCAATAAAAAAGCAATAAATACAGACAAATAAAAAGTAACATGTGAATTAGCCAGCCGTGGTGGCATGTGCCTGTAGTCCCAGCTATTTGGGAGGCTGAGACAGGAGGCTCACTGGAGCCCAGGAGTTCGAGGCTGCAGTGAGTTATGATCACATCACTGTAATCTGGTCTGAGCGACAGAGCAAGATGCTGTCTCTTAGAAAGAGTAACATATGAATAATTCTAAATGAATACTGACTGTATTAAAGCATTAATGAAAATGATGTCTATTGTGGCTTAGATACAGAGAAAACTGAAATCCATGACAAGACAAGCACAAAAGACAGAAAAGTAAGAGTTGTGTGGTCTTTGGGTTGTCCAGGAAATGGTAGAGGTAATCACTTATAACAGACTACATTAAATCAAGGATGCTGCTTGTAGTCTAGAGTAACCACTAAAAGAAAATTATACCTCAGGCTAATAAAGAAGAAATAACACAAAACAAACAAACAAAAAACCTTAACCCAAAAGAAGAAAAAAACACAGAAAAGGGGACTGACAGAAAGTGAAAACTAAGATGAAACATCCAAGCCCAAATCTGTAAGTAAATACACTAGACAAAGTGTAGTCAATACTTTGACTTAGTAAAGACTGAATGTTTTTTAATAAAGCAAATACTGTATGCCTATACACCTAAGATATAAGAATGAAGACAGGTTCAAAGTAAAAGGATGGAGTGGGCTAGTGGCTCAGGCCTATCTGTAATCCCAGCATTTTGGGTGGCCAAGGTGGGATGATCATATGAAGCCAAGAGTTTGAGACCAGTCTGGGCAACATAGTGAGACTCTGTATCTACAAACAAACAAAAATTAGCCTGTAGTCCTAACTTCTCAGAAGACTGAGGTAAGAGCATCACTTGAGCCCAGGAGTTCAAGACTGCAGTGAGCTATGACTGTGCCACTGCAATCCAGCCTGGATGACATAGAGTGAAACCCTGTCTCAAAAAAATAAAATAAAAAGAAAGTAAAAGGATGAATAAATATAACTGTGTAATGACTAATCAAAACAAAGCTAATCCTCTCAGTAAACTAGGAATAGAAATTTCCTCAACTTGATAAAGAATATCTACAAAAATACCCACACCTAACATCAGAGTTAACAGTGGAAAAACTAGAAACTTTCCCACTAAGATCAGAAACAAGACAAGAATGTTCCCTTTCACCACACTTTTCAACATCATACTGGAAGTGCTAGCTAATGAAATAAGACAAGAAAAGGAAAAAGGAGGTTTCCAGATTAGAAAGGAAGAAATAAAACTGTTTGTCCTTATTTACAGATAAGATGACCATTTCATTAACAAAAGAATCAACAAAGAAACTCTTAGAACTAATAAGTAGTTATAGCAAAGGTGTGGGATATAAGGTTACCAGATGAAAGTCAGTCAGTTTCCCATATACTAACAATGAACAAATGGAATTTGATATTAAAAACACAATACCACTTATATTAGCATCCAAAAAGATACTTAGCCATAATCTAACAAAATATGTGTAAGATCTACATAAAGAAAACCATAAAACTATAATAAGAAATCAAAGATTAACTAAATAAATGAAGGGATATTCTATGTTCATGGATAGGAAGATTCAATATTATCAAAATGTGAGTTCTTGCAACTTGATCAATTCAATGTAATTGCAATAAAAATCTCAACTTTTTGTGGATACTGACAAACTGATTCTAAAGTTTATATGAAGAGGCAAAAGACTCAGAATAGCCAGCTCAAGATTAAAGGAGAAGACCAAAATTGGACTCACACTACCAAATTTCAAGACTTACCATAATCAAAGCTACAGTAATCAAGACAGTGTGTTACTGGGAAAGAACAAACAAATATATCAATAGACCCACATAAGTATAGTCAAATGATCTCTGAAAAAGAGGGGAAAGACCACACTATGGAGCAAAGGTAGTCTTTTCAACAAATGGTGTTGTAACAACATGCAAAAAAATTAATGTAGACACAGACCTTACACACTTCACAAAAACTAACTCAAAATGTATCACAGACCTATATAAAAAAACACCAAGCTATAAGATAACATAAACTAGAAGCTGACAGCATTCATAGCTGAGCCCTTACTAAGGACCTTTACTTCCATTAATCTCCCTTATTAACCACACCTCCCCCTTAACAGATGAGGAGACAGAGGTACAGGAAGCACAAAAAGAGTCAATATCTGGCCCAAAGTCACCAGCATGCTCTAAGTCTCCCTGCTATACCATCTCCCAGTGCTGAATTCCAGAGAGATATGGCTAAAATCTGTATTCACATAAATATACCCCATGGCACCGAAATAACTGAAGTCTGATGCAGACTGAATAAACATGAACTGTTAATGAACTACTATAATAAGAAAAATATACATCAGTTCCCTACTGTATACAAGATAGTGAGAATTTTTTTTAATAGCAACAATTTATTGAGCTTTCACTCAAGCTTTAACTCAAAGTTGCAAGCACCTGACATTTTTATATCATTTAGACCTCACAGCAACTAGCCAGGAAGGCACTCTTTTTTTTTTTTCTTTCTTTATTGTAAAGAGGAGGTCTCGCCAAGTTGCCTGGGCTGGTCTCAAATTCACGGGCTCAGGCAATCCACTCACCTCAGCCTCACAAAGTGCTGGGATTACAGGCTGAGCCACCGAGCCCAGCCAGGAAGATACCCATTCTATAGTTGAGGAGTGAGACTCCATGACAGGAAGGATTCTGTTCCTAAGTGGCAGAACTTGGGTTAGAATAAATGTGACTCTAGAATCCAAACAATGCATGACCTCCTTCACTCCCACTTGAAAATGTGTTTATGATTACTAGAGCCTTAAGACTTAGGAGTATTCTTGCATGCGGTACCTCATCTTCACAGCAACCCTGTAAAGTAGGTGAGACAGAGATCACACAGATTTCATAAGTGAAGAAACTGAGACACAGATGCAGAGAAATGTACATTGTGGGCACACTGTGAATGCTCCACCCATCAGGTGAGACCATCAGAAATTCCAAAGAAAGGAGAAGGCAGGAAAAAACACATCAAGGACTCATTAAATAGATTTTTAAATTGAAAACCACTCCTTTGTCATTTAACAAATGTATTTTTATTCTGTTCTTATACTTACCAGGGTTTTATGATTGAATGATAAAAACAGGCTTCTGTTGGTCACCTTCACAGGGACATTTCCTCTGTGTCAGGTCAGAAAGCCTTCATGAATAATTTCACTGAGCAAAGCTGCCCTTGGCCTTGACCAAAGATAAATGAGTAAAGCAGCCATTTCCAGGGCTGGTCTACACACATGATCTCTTCTCTGGCACAGAGAAAGTGAATAGTCAGACCCATCTCTTACATGGTGAGTCACCTGTGTTATTACATTGCATACTCATCAGATCCATTTTATAAGGAAATGAAGAGATACTCAGAGAGGCTAAGTGACTTGAAGAAAGTCATACAGCTTGGAAGTAGCAGATCTGGAACAAGAATCCAGATTTCCTGCTAGGCCAGTGCTCTGTCCAAGGACAAACCAGGCCCAGGATCCCTCAGCCATGTGGGGCTACAGAACCTTTTTGCATGTAGATAAAGACGTAACAGATGACAGGCCAAAGGCTAAGAGGGAGCAGAAAAAGTTGAAAATTTTCAGAACTTTGGTTCTGGAAGGGCCCTTAAGAATTATCCAACCCACCCATTATATAGATGGGTAAACTGAGGAACAAGGAAACCAACTGGTCAAAAGTTACACAGTGAGAAGTGGCAGATCGGGTTCAGAAACCAAGTCCAGACCAGTCGTATCATTCAGTTGAGTTTGGAAAGCAATATGCAAAAGCTGCTAATGAGGATGGCAGAGGAATCAGTCCACAGGATTTTTTTGCTCCTTAACAGGTCCAGGTCATGCACAAAAAGTATAAGATGTAGTCTTTGTCCTTGAGGAGTTTACAGTCTAGCTAAAGAAAAAACCAAAAACTGGCATGTGCGCAGGAAAACAGAACTGATAACATAAAACAGGCAGCAGCAGGGCTGGCTGTGCCAGAGGGCTTCTTGAAGGAGGGGGTAAAGAAAGTCAGACTGGGGCTCGATGGCTCAGCCGTAATCCCGTGCTTTGGGAGGCTGAGGTGAGTGGATTGCCTGAGCCCTCGGGTTCGAGACCTGCCTGGGCAACTTGGCGAGACCACATCTCTACAATAAATCAAAAATTAGCCGGGCATGGTAGCGTGTGCCTGTAGTTCCAGCTACTTGGAAGGCTGAGGCGGAAGGATCAGCCACTGCACTCCAGTCTAGTGACAGAGTGAGACTCCAACTCAAAAAAAAAAGAAAGACTGAATAGGAGACCAATAGACAGAAAAGAGTAGGCATGACAGTCCAGGAGAGAGTTTCAACTTATGAAGGGGTTTTGCAGAAATGAAACCAAAATTGTGGATGCAGGTTTGAGGGCTGGGGAGCCTTCAGATGTCAGGCCACAGCTTTTAGACATGGGCCTTTAGAACAATGGGTCTTCAAGCTTTTGGGGAGCGGAACACCTAGAAGGAAGTCTCTGAACTCTTCATAGAATTCCACAAGCAACTGGTCACGTTTCACTCCAAGACAGTGTTAGTGTCAGAGGACACGACTGCTGTTCTACTTCTGTAGTATAAGGACGCAACCACAGGCATGCATGCCTTCGAACAAAATAAGTCCCTGAGTCAAGCAGAATCAGTCTTTTCCAAATATTTCTAGGAACAGCTCTCTGTCCTTGTTCTTCTGTCTCTGTCTTCTGCCGCCTGTATACTAGCAGACAAAATGCACGGGTTGTCTGCTTTTCACAAAATATGGAGGGGAGAAAAAACTTAAAAATGTAGAGAAATCTGAAAACTTACTTATTTTCTTCATATTAAAAAGAGACAGTCTTATAATTTTAGAAGCCCATGGCAATGCTACAAAGAGCAGTATCCTTTCCGAGCCTCAATTTCCCATCTGACATGAAGAGGTTGGAGATGGAAGAGTCATCTGAGATGAAGCTTTGGACACAATTGCCCAGTCGCATATTCATTTGTTCTGGACTCTCCATGCAATGAAGGGGATGGGAGACTGGGCCCCTTCCAGCCATGTCCGTGGTCTAGGCATAGGGAGCAGCTTGGGGTAGAACCATCTCAGCAGTCATCAGCTTCTGCAAAGGCCAAGGGTCAGCATGAGATGTCAAAGAGGCATTCTTGCATTGGGCCCTGGAGTGAGCATGTTGCCCCTGTTGCTGGCATGACTGGCCCCTTCTGGAGTGCCCCCAGATGCTTCTCTTTTCACCTGGAGCTCACCATTGGCCATCCTGGGCTCCTGGAGCCTCCCCCACTTCTCAGTCTGGGAGGAAGATGAATACTTTGGTCCCAGGTCACCTGGCCAGGAACAGGCAACACCCTGTACCCAAGATGTGGGCTTCTATGAGCTGGCAGGGGCATGGAACCCTCGGAGAGTCCGTATGTCGTGTCCCCATAGCCTTGGGGAGCTGGGAGGTCATCAGCAACCGGATGTAGTAGCCGCCAAACACAGCCAAAAGCTGCCGGGCCATTTCCTAGAAGAGACAGGGAAGCAGAATGAGGGCTAAAGGGAAGTACCTTGAAGAGAGTAGGGCTTAGGCATGGGGAGAAGGCTAAGCCATCCTCTTTCCCCTGGACCCAGGAGTGATGCCCCCAGCGAAGAACCAGGCCTGGCAGCACCTGGGGCTTTTGGAAGATACCATCCTGGTCTAGAACCCCAGCTCTGCAATCTCTGGCCATGGGGGGGTCCTGCAGTCTCAGTGTCCTCAACCCCAGGGTGAGACACTAACTGCTAATTGGCAATAATAATATGCCCAAAGGGATATGCACCAGAGAAATGACCATTGACTTAAACCTAGCCAACTACACACAAACACTCCTTGTCCACTTTCAATGTTGGTGAGTCTGAAAAGTACATGAGGTCAAGGTGAGTTCCTTCAAGAAAATCCCAAGTTAAGCATGGAAGTGGGGAGGGGAAAATTCCCATTGTAGCAGGATCCTTCCATTCATACAAAGTATCTGGTAGATTTCATTACACAAGTACTCCCAATAACAGAAGCTGCTTATAAAGATGGGATTGACAAAAAGACAAATATCGTATGATTTCACTTACATGAGGAACCCAGAGAAGTAAATTCATAGAAACAGAAAGTACAGTGGGAGTCTCTAGGTGCTGAGAGGTTGGGGGAAGGGGAAGTTAGTGTTTACTGGGTATAGAGTTTTGGTGTGGGAAGATGAAAACATTCTGAAAGTGGATGACAGTAGCCCAACAATGTAAGTACACTTGATGCCACTGAACTGTACACTTAAAAATTATAAGGATGGCAAGGTGTGGTGGCTCACACCTGCAATGCTAGCACTTGGGGAGGTTAAGGTGGGAGGATTACTTGAGCTCAGGTAGGTGTTCAAGACCAGCCTAGGCAACACAGTGAGACTCTACAATAAATAAATAAAAATTAGCTGAGCATGGTAGTGTGTGCCTGTAGTCTTTCCTTGGGAGACTGACATCTTTTAGCTCACGAACTTGTGAATTGGAGGCATCCGGCAGGTCTCCTACCAAGGACAATGTGGTCAGGAAAAGACCACCCTCCCTTCCCTCCTCCCATCAGAAGCAGAGAGATGTCAGTCTCCAGAGTGGAGGTTACCTGTGTCCCACCCTCTTCAGTATATCAATCATTGTGAAGGTATATCCGGCCTATTGTAAAAAAGCAAAAGGCATGGTTTCTCTTGCCCAAGCAAGCTCTGGCATGTCTATCATTCCCTTCTTCCTTCTTCAATAAACTTTGCTTTAAAATTTTGCTGGTGGCTTTAAAAAATTATTTCAGCATCGAGTCAAAGACTCACAGATTTGCACAGCATCCCACCAGGTATCATGGTGATCATGATCATGCTACTGCACTATAGCCTAGGCAACAGCATGAGATTCTAAATTTAAAAAAAATTAAAAATAAAAAGGAGAAACTTCACATGGTGCATAAAATTGGCTTTTGTTTCTAGCTGTCCTTTGTGCTAGAGGATATTAAAAACTTCCAATAGTTTAAACCTCGCTACTCAGATTGGTCTTCTCGCCAATTTACTTTAAAACCAATAATGGAAGAAGCAAAGAACTGCAGCAAGAAAATTGGCCTATTTAGAATCCGCCCTTGGCTTGGCCACATGCTCCCTTGCAACCTTGGGCAATTCAGCTGACCTCTCAGAACCTGATTTCAGCCATCAAGGGAGAAGGGAAAATAATCTACACCTCAGAGGGTAAGCTAAAGAATTTTATGCATGATAAATATCTGTAAAAATGGAAGAAGTCATTATCACTATCTTCTGGTCTTTCATGGACACTGAGTTTCTACTAGAATATGATGGTCTGGCCCATGCTGAGAATGGGGCATGGACTGCATTTTCCCTAGCTAAATTATAAGGGCAGCTACTTTAAAAACATGTGCACTCACACACTTGATATTCATGACAGGAAATTGTCTTGCTATTGGTTTGAATGAATTTGGAAAAATAATTTAAAAGACCCATATTTAATGGGCTATTGCACATAAATCCAGACATGCATGTCACAACCAAGTACATGACCTTATCAATTTCTTCTGCTCTTTAAAAAAAAAGTCAATAGGATTCAAGTGAAGAGATAATACATTTATCTTTTAAACAGTCCTGGGTGCTGGCTTCCAACTCCCACCAGTACAAAAAAAAAGAGAAAGCCTGAGCTGGTTTAGATCTTGAATTCCCAAACCTCTTGGCTAAAAAGAAAACACAAATGCTCTTTTGGCCTTCCAAAGGTCATCTGAGGTCACCCCTCACTGCCTGTCTCCCTAGCAATGGGTCTGTCCTCATGACAAGAAGAAGGTGGCACAAGCGGCAAACCACATTTTCAGATTTCTGGTCTAACAGTGCTTAGCCGTACCCAGTAGACAGCTTGGATGGCAGGACTCCACAAAACGCTGGGGCTGGAGGAATTGGAATTCAACAGAGAGGCATGGAAGATTCCGATGTCCAAATGCAATTTAAGTAGACAGATGGATGGATGGCCAGATAGATGAACAGATGACTGGTTGACTGACTGACTGATAAAGACCCAGATATTCATCAATATGTGTTCATGGGTAAGAAGGCTATGATCCATCAATATGCAACTACTCATCCAATTCCACTATCAAAAAGAATATCCAGGATATTTTTAAATGTAACCAAAAATATGAATAAATATAAAATAGTTCTTATAAACTATTTCTTAAATTGCTAGTGTGCATTCTAAAAAAGACTGGACACTACTGGGCCAGATTTCCATGGTCCCTACCAATTCACAGAAGCCATGTCCCCAGGAATCTAGAACTGGAACCCCTGCCATGAACCCTCTCTATACAAATGCCCCTTGAGGGAGGATGGCCCTGACTGGCCACAGTGCCTGTTACCTCTGGCTCAGCCTCAGGAATGAGCTGGTAAAGCTCGGTCTGCGTGAGTGGTCTCTCCTCAGGATGAGGATCGCCAGGCAGCAAAGGAGCATCCTCCAAGTTCTGAGGCCCCTCCACTGTCGTAGGGCTCACGCCGGTCTCCATGACAACACACAACTGGCTCAATCTGCTTCTCAGCAAGGACTGCAAAGGAAACAGGGAAGGTGTGTCCTAAGTTGGGTGGTATCTGAGAGGCTGAATCACTCCTTGAGCTGCCGACCCAGCAGAGGACGGATCCATCTAGAGACTCAGATGCTAACCTCAGAAGAATCTGGAAGTGAGCCACATTGGAGAGATTGCATAATTCCCTACAAGAATTCCTAGAAGAATCCCTAATGGCTTCTAAACACTTTTTCTTCCATGCTCTCATTTGCTCAAAGCAGCCTGGGACGTGGGTATGTTGCAGATAAACAAACTAAGGCTTCAAGGCCTTGCCCAAGGCCACACAGGAACCAAGAAGCCAGGGTTGGGGCTAAACCACAATCCTGACTTGAAGACCCACAGCAGTGAGGACCCAGGAAAGGCTGATCCAAGAGAAGGAGCCCAGGACTTGGAGACAGGAGGGGCCTAGCTCCAAACCTGAATGTCACCAAACCTAAATGACCACAGGCAGGTGACAGGCCTTCCCAGAGCCCATTTCCTCCTCTGCAGACTCAGAGCAAGACCTCTCTGACCTTCCTAATAAATGGTAGAAAGGCACTGCAAATGAGTGAGAGTCATCCAAATACATGATACTTTTGGATCTGCCAGAATTTATTACTAATATGTGATGAACTAGGCACAGTGGCTCATGCCTATAATCCCAACACTTTGGGAGGCAAGGCAAGGGGATTGCCTGAGCTCAGGGGTTCGAGACCAGCCCGAGTAGCATGGCTAGACCTCGTCTCTATAAATAAATAAATAAATAAAATAAGCCAGGCATGGTGGTTGTGGTTCCAGATGCTTGGAAGGCTGAGGCGGAAGGATCGCCTGAGCCCAGCAGGTCAAGTCTGCAGTGGCCGTGAGGGTGCCACTGCACTCCAGCCTGGGCGACAGAGTGAGACTCTGACTCAAAAAAAAAAAAAAATGCGATTATAAAGAAACACACTACAGGAAATGTGGAAGATGCAATTAGTTAAGAAGAAGCAATAAAGCAGTGACTCCCAAGGCAAAAACAACCACTGACTCCACATAGGTATTCTTCCTTCCAAGTTAACTGCTTCTTAGACACGTTTCCAACATAGAGACAATGCAATCTATACAATTTAACCACTTGGTATATTTTGGTTTTTTCTCTTAAGGTATCTTACCTCTTGGCTGGTCTTCATTTCTCGAACATGGTCAGACAAAAACTGCACACAGTTCTCTAGGTCAAAGTAGACAAACCAGAGCTGTGGGGAGAAGCAGCCATGACCACTGTGCCCCAAAGCCAGCCCAACTTCAAACTCTCCCTCCCTGAGACCATCTTCTGCCTCCTTCCTCCTTGCCAGAGCCCCACCCTTCTGAGGACTACTGGAGTTAGCCTGCTGTCTGGCAGGAACATGTCATTCTGCTCTCTCTCCGAGTCTCACACCACAACCACGTCTCATTCACATGGCTGGTGGAAACATGATTTTGTGTGAAAATTTAGAAAAGGTCAAGCCCTGTTCAGAATGGCTGTGGTCCCATCTGCCCCAAGGTAAGACTTCAAACCATCTTTCCATTTCCATTGCTGGGTGCAGTGGCACACACCTATAATCCCAGCACTTTGGGAGGCTGAGGCAGGAGGACTGCTTGAGCCCAGGAGTTCAAGACCAACCTGGCCAACATAGCAAGACCTCATCTCTACAAAAAAATTAAAAAATTAGCCAGGCGTGGTGGCACATGCCCGTAGCCCAGCTACCTGGGAGGCTGAGGTGGGAGGACCACCTGAGCCCAAGAGGGTCAAGGCTGCACTGAGCCATGATCATGCCAATACACTCCAGCTTGGATGAAAAAAAAAAATTCCCCATGGCCTTTGGGACAAAGAATGACCAAGCCAGGTGGGCAAGGCCTCAGAATCTGACCTGCCTCCAACCTCATCCATCCCCATTGGGTCACTTTCCTGTGCCCCAGCCACCCTAAGTGCTTCACAATTTTTAAAAAGTACACTGTGGGCCTTGCCTCTGACCTTGTTAGGGGCTGTCCCTTTGCTATAGGGACAGAGCAGCTACTGCTGACTATCTCACTGTCAACACAGAGGCTTTCACACAGAGGAGGCCCCATCTGTCTGCTGAAAAAGTGCCAAGTGAGCAGCAAGGCTCGGGCACTGTCGGAGCTGCCAGTCCATGACTGGCACGCATAAGTTCTAGGCAGCTGGTTACTGCACTGAAGAGATGTCTAGAGGAAGAAACACCACATTGAGGAGGAAAGGGCTGTTGACAGCCATGTCATTAACAGACTCCCAGAGACACTGCATAGGCGAGGAGAACGTGAGGCCACTGTGCCCCATCAGTCCAGCTCAAAAGCAGGCCATCAGGAAGAGGTCAGTCACTCTGAGACAGCACCTGGATCACGCTCTGGCATCCTTCCACCGTGTCAGTTACTCCCAGCAGCACCCGGTGTCTCAGGAGGGCTCCGTTGGCAGCTGCTAACCTAAGGTCTGTGTTGGTATTGGCCTGAAAGACAAACATCGGGCCTGTGGCGGGTCCTCCGTGTTGCCAGGGAGTGCCTGGGCCCCAGGCAACAGCCACACACTGTCCCAACCCCAGATGACACTAGACGATCCTCGCCCCCAGGGTTCTCATTTCCTCCCCTATTACATGGGAGGGTGGGTTGTTGGGGCAGTAGATATAATCTCGTCAGACAGTCCTGGACCGAAGCCTAGCTCTGCTGCTTCCTGAATGCACGGCCCTAGACAAGGTATGTCCCTTCCCTGAGCCTTGTTTTCTTCAGTTTTGTAATAAAAGGAATGTGGTAAGATTTTACTGAGATTATGCATGACACAATTAACCCAGGGCCTCAGACTCCATCCAGATGCAGGTGATATTTGTGGAAGGCAGGGGACTGGGGTGGGAGTTGGGTTGGGGGTCGATCATATAAGTGGAACTCCGGCTCCATCTATGAAGCACCTACTGTGAAAGCACCGAACACAGCCCTGGCCCTCAGAAGACGCTCTGGGAATCAGCCTCCTGCTTTTCCCATCCAAACCAATGGAAAGGCAAGCAGCTGAATGAACTAGGCAGACAGGGAAGAGAGCCAAGAGGAAGGGCAACACAATCCCAAATGCCACCTTGGGGGAAAGAACCCAGCAGGACACTCAGACGCAGTAAGAAGCAAGCAGAAACATGAGGGAGCCCTTTGGTGGTCAAAGCGATGAGTCGGACAATGCCAGCACTTACAGAGGAGGACCATGGACACGAAGCACGTGCCTTCCACTGCAGGATATACCCCATGAGAGACCATTCCACAGCCAAAGACTGTCTCCTGTCCACCTGGACTCCAAATGCTGCAGGTGAAAAATCTACTTAGAGCACTCTGACCAGCCAACCTAACTCCACCTTACATATATACTTAAAGGGACTTTATGCATGGATTTAACATACACTGAATTTTCCAGGAATGCCACTACTATAAAAATCAGAGGGTAGTTAAATTTTGTGTTGCCTAGAACTTGACTAAGTGTTGCTCTCTCCTTTAGAAATCCACATCACCAACAGTTCAATTCCTGACTGTCTTTCACTGCCTGTATAACCTTGGACTAATTACCTAACATCTCTCTGCCTCCCTCTTCTCATTCCCAAATCGGAGATAATAATGCCCCTACCTCAGAGAAGTATCATAAGGAAAAAAATGAGTTAATTCACATTAAACACTGAAAGAATGAACACTTAACACATGCCAGCCCATAATATCATGGTGATGATAACAGTGAATTTAAATCATCCTGCTTTCTGCTGTCCCTTGCTGATCACAAACACTTTTTTAAATGTCTCACATGCCTAGCAATGTGCTGTACTCTGCAAGAGAGACAAGACAGGGTCTTTTCAAAGTTTTCAATCTTGAGAAAGGCTAGCAGTGTCCCAAAAGGGAAAACAAGGCAGTGTTTGCAACATGTGAGACTCGTAAGGATGCTAGGTGACACAGGTAGGATGCTAACAGTAAGAGTGACAATGGTCAGGAAGGGGAAATCGGCATGGCCCTGAGTGACAAGGGACTCGAGGAGGAAGAGGTCCTAGAGCTAAGACCCAAAGGAAGACCAGAGAAGTGCTGTGTGGCCAAGGAATGGTTAATCAACCTCTGTGAGCTTCAGTCTCCCCACTGGCAACCAGAGTCAACAATAATAATATTTAATACTTACAGCACATTCACTTTACACAAGGTACTATTATAAGCACTCTATGGCTGGGTGTGGTGGCTTACACCTGTAATCCCAGTACTTTGGGAGGTCGAAGCGAGAAGACTGCTTGAGCCCAGGAATTTGAGACCAGCCCAGGCAACACAGCGAGACCTCATCTCTTGCACACATATGTTTATCTCAGCATTGTTCACAATAGCAAGAACCTGGAACCAACCATGCTGTCCATCAAAAGAGAACTGGATTTTAAAAATGTGGTACATATATATGATGGAATACTACACAGCCATAAAAAAGAACAAAATCATGAATTTCACAGCAAGCTGGATAAAACTAGAGTCAATAATACTGAATGACCTCTCACAGAAACAAACATCTGAGTATCACATGTTCTCACTCATATAGCATGTTGGGAGCCAGCCACGGAGGTCCACCTGAACGTTAGGGATCAAGGTGGGCCATGGACCCCGAGACCACTAGGATGCGTTCGGGAGTTGTTGACCCCATTCCCCCCTCCCTTTTTCATTTTAGCCAAAAGGTTCTCTGCTTACCTAAGCTGAAGGCTCTGTGACTGTGACAGGCATGGCTCACTCTGGAAACTCATTGTTCCTGTTTCCCATGAACTGTGGTTTTGGCTTAGGTATTAGATATAATTCAAACTCAGGTCACATTTGGGAGCCTTCTATACGCTTCAAGCTTCTTTATAAGATTTAAAAGTATATTTGTATATTTGTAGAATTAGTAAATACATATGGAGAGCTGTTTTCAGCTTTAGATGGTATAGATGATTATCTAGAGTTACCAGAAATGGCCCAGCACGAACTTTGGACTGGGCCACATTCCTAAGGGCCCAGTGCATACTTTGGACTGGGCTGCATTCTTTTAAACCGGTTTTAGCTACAGTTAGTGTAGGGCTTTTCTACTTATTATAGAAATTGAATTTATTTTACTCATAGAAAGTATTGTAGAATAGGTCATGTTACGTCAGGAAATTATGTTAGTTCAAGCATGATCATACATGATATTTTGAGGTTTAATAAGAGTACAGCTAACTTTAGAAATTTCATTGTTCCCATTTTCTACTATTGTGGTTTTGGCCTTAATACAATTTACAGTTTATATTTGGGTTTTATTTTTAGAAGGTTTATTGCTGATGATCAGCTTTATATATTAGGATTAGGAATTAGAAACTTTTATAGAAATTAAGATAGATATATAGGATTTTAGAATAGCCATTTTGTTAAGAGATTGTAATCAACTGTTCCTAGAAACGGCCCAGCATGATCTTTGGACTGAGTCACATTTTTTAGGAACTGGTTTGAGCTATAATTAAGAGTTTCTATAGTGTAGGTAAAATTAGCATAAAATAGAAAGGAATTAGGATTTAAGTTAGTCATTAGGTGTTGTGTATGCATAAGTTTTAAAAGTTATTGATAATTAGAATATTATGATGTTAGAATTGTTGTATTGCTTTTGAGGAATATTAACCAAGCACAAGGAGCAGTGAGATAATTTGGGGATTGCCCTTCCTCGTGCTTGAGGAAAAGCCCAGTGGGTGGGGGATGCCTCTCATCCACCTGCCTTTGTAGTCATGTAAATGTTTTGTGATTTAATTGGGATTGTCCTTCCTCATGCTTGGGAAAATGCCTGGTGGGTGGGGGATGCCCCTCATCGACCTGGCTTCGTGTTTGTGTAATAGTCTTGTGATTTAATTGGGACTGTCCTTCCTCATGCTTAAGGAAACACCTGGTGGGGGGGGCGCCCCTCATCCACCTGGCTTTGTGTTCACGTGAAAGTCTTGTGTTTTAACCTGTGAAAATTTGGGATAAAAGACTTATGGTTCGTCCCATTAAACGGCTTCTGCTCAATCCGTTGAACAGTTGTCTATTTTCTTTCTTTCTCTTTCTTTCTCTTTATATCTATCCCTCCATCTTTCTTTCTTTTAATATCTATCCCTCCTACAGAATCGGCTTCTGCACTATATAGAGTCCAGTCTTGCTTTCTTTTATTATCTATCCCTTCCAGTTTCACTGACGCCGCCACATCTTTCTAGGGACTCCCCAAAACCTGCAGGGGTTGGCCCCCCGCAATAGCAGACCTTGAGCATCCATAGTAATACTATAAGAAATGGACTGACAGTGGTGGGAAACTATGCGGGGGAAGGAAGGTGGGATTAATGGTAGGCAATATCTGTCTGGGGATGGGGAGACACCCCTTATCAACAAGGATGCCTGAACGAAGCATATTTGTATACTTAACCCTTAACTATACCCCGTAATATTAAAATAAAAAATATTGATTTATTTTTTAAAAAGTCAAAAAATAAGCCAGGTCTGCTGGCATGCCCCTGTAGCCCTAGCAACTCAGGAGGCTGAGGTAAAAGAATCGTCTGCATCCAGGAGGTGGATTCAGTGAGCCACGATCATGCCACTGCACTCAAACCTGGGCCACAGAGAGAGAATCTGACTCAAAAAAAATAAGATAAAAATAAAAATAAAATAAAATAAAAATACACACACACACACACACATACACACAGGGGTGCCCAAAAAAAGTATATAGGTTTTCAGAGATGTTATCTATGTATTACTTTTTGAAGTTGAATTAAATCATGGTAGCAATGTGTAGCATGACATTCACTCAACCATGCTTCCACCATTTTCTTTGTCCTGCCTGTTGCATGGTGACACTAGCATTCACACTAGCATTCACTTGATTGACACAATCTTTTGAGAGAACGTCATACCTGAAATGTGTATTCATTTTTTTGGCACCCCATACACACACACACACACACACACACACACACACACACACACACACACACACACTTTGTGTGCATCGAGTCACTGAATTCTCACAGTAACCCTGTGAGGGAGCTACCATTATCATCCCATTTCACAGATGAGGAAACTGAGGTCCTGAAATGTTAAATAACAGCGTACCTCAAGTTGTAGAGCTAGCAAATGGCAGAGGTCTCCTGCCTCCTTAGAAGGCTGTGGTTAGGCATAGACATTAAGTACCAAGCACAAAGCACACAGTAGCTGCTCATCGTGTGGTGGTCATGATTAGGAAGAAAAGGAGGGGTCTCATAAATGAGCAAACAGTGATGACAGTATTGCTGCTGTACACCTGGGGCTCAATGCCGCACCTAGGCATAAAATGCCCAGGTCTTGCTCATCTCTGGGACTTTGCCTAGCACGTTGCCTAGAATTCACGGAAACTTCATAAATAACAGCTGAATTAAAGGAGGAAGGGAGAGGAGGAGGCAGAGAACCAGAAAAGGCACCTCCTGAACTGCATGAACAACATCCGCATAGCCCCTGCCAGGTGCAAGACTTTTTGCTTGCTTCTGCTAAAGCAAAACACTGCAGTTTCCCCTCCCCAAGAAAAGTTTTTGCTGCAGAAGCAGCCAGCTAAATTTACAGGCCAAACACAAGGCCATGAAAGCTTCAGCAGACCCCAAGGGTGGCATTATTTTGTCACTCTCGTAGCAAAGCCCAACAAAGATGCTTTCAGAATGAATAAGCCATGAAGTTCCCATTTATCCCTCTGAACACAGGCACTAAATGGAATTCATACCCCCAAACAATGACTAGATTTCCCAATATCCCACCTCCCCTTCTGTCAGGCAAGAGCAAATGCTTGCTGAAGAACTCGAAGGACGGCACTGCACCAGGTGCCAGAGGGTGAACAGACAGCAGCTTCCCAAGTAAGTGGAAAGACAGCATAGGTGTGGTAGACAGAACAAAGGTAGTAGAACCCCAGAGATGTCTAAGTTCTATTCCCCAGAACCTGTGTGCGCATGTTGTTCCATGGCAAAGGGGAATCAAGGCTGTGGATGAAATTCATGCTGCTAGTCAGCTGACCTCAAATTTAGGTGACTACCTTGGATTATCAAGGTGGTCCAACATTATCACAAGGGTCCTTAAAAGTTGAATAGGGGCCAGGCACCATGACTCACATCTATAATTCCAGCACTTTGGGAGGCCAAGGTGAGAGGATTGCCTGAGCCCACGAGTTCATGACCAGCCTGGGCAACTTGGCGAGACCTCATCTCTACAATAAATCAAGAAAAATTAGCCGGGCGTGGTGACACATGCCTGTAGTTCTAGCTACTTAGAAGGCTAAGGTGGAAGGATCACATGAGCCCAGCAGGTCAAGGCTGTGGTGACCATGAGTGTGCCACTGCACTCCAGTCTGGGTGACAGAGGAGACTCCAACTCAAAAAAAAAAAAAAAAATTGAACAGGGACCAGTACAGTGGGTCATGCCTGTAATCCCACTTTGGGAGGTCAAAGCGGGTGGATTGAGACCAGCCTGGACAACATAGGGATACCTCATCTCTCCAAAAAAGAAAAATAAAAAAATTAACCAGGCAAGGTGATGCACACCTACAGGCCCAGCTACACGGGAGGCTGAGGAGGAAGGATCTCCTGAGCCCAGGAGGTCAAGGCTGCTATGAGCTGTGATCATTGTGATTGTGCCAGTACACTCAAGTCTGAGCGATGGAATGAGACCCTGACTCAGAAAGTTAAAAAGTGGAAGAGGGAGGGAAAATAGTCAGAGAAGGAGATGTGAAAAAGACTGGACTCAGCATTGCCGGCTTTGAAGATGGAGGGAGGGGCCATGAGCCAATGAATGCAGAAGGCCGCTAAGAGCTGGAACAGGCAAGGAAACAGACTCTTCCCTTGGATCCTTCAGAAAGAACACAGCCCTGCCTTCACCTAGCGTTTAGCCCAGTGAGACCTCCAGCGAACTTCTAACTTATAGAACTGCAATAAAGTTGTGTAGTTTTAAGACCCCAAGTTCACAGTAATTTGTTACAGCAGCCCTAGAAAACCAGTACAATAGGGTACTGACTAGGAACATGGCTTGAAATCTGAGATCCTGGCCTTGAATTCCAACTCTGCCACTTGTTAGTACCATGGCCTTGGGTTGCTCCTTGAGCCTTTCTGAGCCTCGGGACCCTCATCCATAAAATGAATGTAACCGCTTCTACCCAGAGATTCATGGAGGGACCGAATGAGCTGACGTGGAAAGCATTTTAAGACCTACTACACATGAAGTGCTCAATACATAATAACAGACAGACATTAAAGAAACAGAATACAATTAGAGCCATGCATTAAGCTGGGCAGTGCCAGTCTCCGCCTCAAAGGTCATTGCTGGGATTAGAGACATGACTGTCAACAGACTACCCACCCAACATGTGCCCATCACTGGAGGGAATAATGTGAATCATCACTTCCCAAACCTTAACCTCAGGTGCCTTATGCTATAAGGTGGTTCAGTAATCCTCCCTGGCTCACAGAGCTGTCGCAAGCATCCAGGGAGAGGAAGTGTGTGAAACGGCTCAGTTAACTAAAGTACTGGCCTCCTCCCAGACTCTCAGAATGCAGCATGCTTCCAGAAAAACAATCTGGGATTAGATAGGAAAAACAGAGAGGACTTAATCACATGTGTGATTTGATTTCTTTCGGCCACTGGGCATATGGGCTAGTGTGAATTTTTGTGGTTGAAGACATTCTTTGAGGCAGGCAAGAGAAAAACCTGACTTGAGATTCTCCACCTGCACAGCCCTTCTGGAGGAAGTGTGGAGGGGGCCCCAGACAGCTCACCTTCCTCTGGTGTCTCTCGAAGACAAGCACAAGAGTCAGGGTCAGGCTCACCGCAGCCAGAGTCACGAGCAGCACACCCGCCCAGTGGTTCCCCAGGGCAAACATCTGGCTGGTAGAGTAGATGTTGGCCCACACCAACACGTAGAAAACCTGCGGAAGCCAGAGAGCATGCAGTTAGGACACCAGGCCTCAAAGGACATGGCTCCCCTCACAGGATTGCCCTTCAGATATTCCTGATGCCTTCCTGGAGTCCCACAGCTCACGGGGCAAGTAAGAGATGAAAGCAGACACCTGGGTCTGCCGGACTGAGCTCATATCCCTGATTTGTAAGCAAAAGTAGACAAAGGAGTTAGTAGCTACTCCCAAGCCTTGTTTGCCTTGATTTTAAATAATACAGACAAAGGCAAGTGGCTCTGGAGTGAGATTAATTTGAGTCCAAAGCCCACACTGATCTTTCAATTGCTATATGGCTTTGGACAAGTTATAACACCTTTAAGCCTCAGTTTCCCCATCTGTAAAATGGGGATAGTAATACCTACTGAATCACATGTGTGATTTGATTTATTTCAGCCACTGGGCATATGGGCTAGTGTGAATATGATTACAGCCCAGCACTGATTAGGGAATTAGTAAATGCTGGTTTCCACCCCTTTCCCTTCTTCCCAGAAGGGGGATATGGGCATCAGGTGTGCCATTTGACTATTTATACATATAAAACAGCAGCAGATCATAGTGGTTCAAAGCACAGATGCTGAAACCAGACTGCCTGGGTTCAAATCCTGGCTCTGTCACATATGTATATGTCTATGCATGTCTGTATGAAGGTGTATATGTATGGTTTATGTGCATGTGTATGTGTGTGTGTGCATACATATATATACACATACATGTATAGATGACTAGAGGTGAAATGGACCTATCTGTTGAAAAGATGGGGGAAATCAAGTCCCAGAGGAGGAAAGTCTTGGCCGAGGCCAGACAATGAATCCAGAGCCTGGCTGGGTCTGCAGGTTCCCAGTCCCAAGTCCTGCCCTCAGTAAACCCCGACTCCGTCCTTTGTGCAGGGACCAGGTTAGAACTCTCTCCCCAAAATGTCCTCTCATACCAAATCCAGATCACCATGGTGCTGCCCTTTCCTGGATAACCAGGCAGCAGGCCCCAGCCCCCACCCTACACACACACCCACAGGCTCCAGGACAAGAAGCTGAGTCCAGTAGTACCATGATGAGGCCAGGCAGGGATGGGGCAGCCCACCTCCCTCCTCACCACAGCAAAGGCAAGCCTCATGGGCCTTGAGTTGTAGATGACATATCTCCTCACTTGGGGCTCCAGGAGGGCGCTCTCGGCCAAGCTCCGGTACTGCTCAGCGGGGACCTGCTCAGAACCAAGGAAAAGGGACCAATCAGCCCCAGGAGAGCTGCTACCCCCCACCTCCCGCCCGCCCACAAGCACACTGCTTCTATTCATGTGACTCTCATGCGGAAGGGCACATTCCGGGCCATCCCAGAGGGCAAGCCGAGGAGTTTGGAGCCCTGCGTGGAAGTCACAGGGCACAGCTCTCAGCTCAGGGGAAAAAAGGCATCACAACATCCTAGGGATGAATCCCCGCAGCTAGAGACGCAGTACCTCACAGCAGGCATAGGGTGGCCTAATGGTTAAGGTGTGGGCCCTAGAGTCAGAAAGCCTGGGGCCCAAACTCTGACCCTGACACTCATGTGCTGTGTGACCTGGAGCAAGTAACCCCACTCCTCTGAGCCTCAGTTTCCTCCTCCGTAAAATGAGGATAATAAACACAATCACCTTGTAGGGTCAGAGTATGTATTAAGTGAGAAGATACATACATGCTTGGCACAGGGCTGGTCCCTCAGTGAACCCTCAATCCACAGGTGCTATTATCAATACTGCAATATCAGTATCTACTAATAAAGTCCAAAGGACTGAACACTCACATTTCCCTGTCCCATAATGTCTGAAGAACACAAAAGCCCTGTGAGATCAGACTCTAGGAAAGCAGAATGTAACCATTAAAAATTATCTTCAGGAGCACGGTAGAACAGTACATAACCTGTTCACCAGGAAGAAAGTCCAATCTGCAGACAAGTGTTTAAGAGATGTTTTCTGCACACAGGCAGAAGGGAAACCTGGAACAATAAACCAGCTTGCCCTGATGTGGGATTAGCACCGTCAGAGTGATAAGTTTTCCTTCAATGGTGACAAAATGTTGTTCTCAACAATAATGCAATTCTGTTTTAAAGACATAAATGCTAAAAGTCTTCAGGGTAAAATTAGCAGTGTATCCTCCCCATCCCTAATTAATCCTACCTGGCTAGCACAGGGAAGCCCAGATCATGTCAGGAACTTTGAAAAGAGAGAAAATCTTACCTGTAGGCACTTCTTAATAATAGCTACAATTTACTGAGCTTTTACCATATGCTAGAAACAGAACCAGTGTTCTTCGAGTACTACTGCATTTAATCCTAACAGAGATCCTCTATAATAGGTATTCATGTTGTCCTCACTCACAGATGATGAAACAGGCTCAGAGAGAATAAGTCACCAGTCCAAAGTCACACAGACAGCATGCAGCAGAGCTATATCTGTCTGTGAAGCCTGTGCCTCAAACCACTGTGCTTGAAGGTAACTATATCGTTATCTAATGAATTCACATGCACTTTCCTCTCCTAAGATGTCCTTCCTCCTGTCTACCCAAAATACTCCTATTTGTGCTTCAAGATCCCAGATCAAGCATCTGCTCCTCTGCAAAGCTTTCGCTACACTTCCCCCATCCTTAGACAAGCTTATCCTTTTCTCCTGTGAATATCATCAATGCCTTAGGCATTCTTCTACTGTGACACTTCTATCATGTTGTTCTGATTTATCCAACACACATCCACCTCCTGGGCTGGAATCTACGAGCACGTGGGCATAGGTGCTGTGTCCTGCCCCCTTCTATCACATTTAGACAGTTAAGAGCCTGGCACAGAGTAGGCATCCCAAAATGCACATTTGCTAAGTGAGTCAATTGGGAAGAGAGGACCATTCATTCTTTTACACCTTCCTCATAAACCTTGTCACAGCTAGCACAGAGTGTTTGGCAAAAATTTTGTGAATAACTGGAGGAAAGGATGGGTGAGTGGGTGGATGGATGAATGGGTGTGTGGGGATGGAAGGATGGATGGATGGAGAGATGGATGAG